TATTGTAACGGCTTTTTATACACTGATCCCATTGAAAATTGGAAATCAGGGTACCATGGTTTTGTTAAAATGTATGTAACTGGCAGAAGGAGGCGTGGCAGACCCCATAAAGTATATATATATTCTTGATCAGGACGACAAGCCGAGTCAATTGATCTGTCCATCTGTCCATATGTGTGAACGCGTCGATCTCAGCATCTAAAAGAGCTAGAGACTAGACATTTTGAGAGCTAAAACCTCCAAATTTTGTATTTAGTTTTATGTATATTTAATTTAATTTTGATTTTTGTTGTATTTTGGATACCGGCTCCAAATTTCCTAAAATTCTAAAGATTTAAGTTCAGTTGCAAATAGGGCCAATATGTGAAGGAGTTTGCATGTCTACAAAGCCAATAGAATATGTAGATCATTCAAATCCGTTAAGTAAAACAGAATTTCTAAAACAAAACGTTTGGCCAAATTGCAGAAGCACATGCCAAGTAGGGCCAAGCACACACATACATTCTAATGCGTGTGTTTTCTATTCCAAGAATCGAAATAGTGATTGATATGGGCTTGCATTGTCGGCTGCTACTTAAGTTGAGACTTGCAACTCCTTTCTTAATCAGTATAGTTAGTTGTGGTGTTGGTAAATGCGACTTTCGCAAACGCCAAGTCAGTCGTGTAGGTTCGAGACGTGCAGCGAATGGGTGTTTTTTTTTTGTTCTTTTTTAATTTCTTAGTTATGAAGTGGCGAGTTGATGCGCGGTAGACAATGTAGGTTCGAATGTATCGAATACTCGTATCGGTACAAAATATTGAAAATATTAAATAACGCCGATAGGACTGGGATTAGGCACCCCGACTAGAGCTTTCTTACTTGTTTATAAATACTTTTTGTTTCTTTTCTCAATATTGTTTGAAATAGGTTTAGCAAAAGAAGGCAAAGCTGATCAAGTTTTGGGTAACAAATCGAGATTAATCAAATTAACTTGGCGGCGTTTCCTTAGCTCATTGTATAACAGAGATATTATTAAATATATGTAAACATTTGATTTTTCAAATCTAAGATTTAGGAATAATCATATCGCTGTTTTTTTTAACTTTTTGATTTCAGAGATGTCTTCATTTGCTTGTTTAACTAAAGTTAAATATATTTTATTTATTCGTATGTACAGATTATACAATTTCGGTACATTTATCATTACTTGTAAACAATAACTTATTACTTATGTGGAATTTAATAAATTATTGTTGATTTTCATTTATAAACGACAATCTTAATCCATATTTTTATTTTATTTTTTCTCGGAAGACATTTCTGTATTGCATTATTCATTATTTAACTTTTGATATTTTTAATTATCTAATGTGAGCAAATAAGCTCAGTATAATGACTTACATATAAAATTTTTCGTTAACATTGATTTGTATGTTGTGTAAAATTATTGTATTGTTTATTGTAAGCATGGGGTTTTCATTGCTTCATTGTTATTGATTTCAATTGGACTTTGAACTATTCATAAAGGGGTCATATCATGATTGAGCACATGTATATATATTCTTAGAATTCTGTCTGACTAGTAATCAATTTCAATAGCTAACTTCGTTTTTACTAGCCATTCAAACACACAAATAATTAAAAGTGATTAGAATCGGAAACTCATACACCAGACTCATCATTTGACAAATGCCAAGAAAGCACAGAAACTGGATTTTCAACAGGTTAATGCAATTGATGTTTGGCTAACTTTGAGCCTTTCATTGAATAACTATTCTTTATACATTGATTTTAAGTTAGTTTACAAAAGTGTTTAAAGTATTCAAAACATTATTATTATATATGGACATAAACAAAAATTATAAGTTTTTTAACTAAATATAATACTTTTATTAAAAAGTGATTTTTTCTAGCTGGAGTTTCAGTTTTCAATTTACGTTCTAAATAGAAACGTTTTTGGTCTGGATTAGGTATCGGAATCTTACTTTTTTTAAGGTCTAAGCTTAGATCTTACAGCTTTTTCAATAATGTTAGATTCTCAGAAAGATTTTAAAAGAAATTAATGTGAAGATAATATTCATGAAAAAGGCAAAACACAAATTGTCTGGGAATGTGAAAAAATAAAGGTACTTGTTAAGAATATGTACATATTGATAATTAGCAATTTACAACCAAGTATGATTCATGTAGCATCGTGACGTTAATATGGGTTTTAACATCATGAAGCATCATGGTAACTTTATTAAGGCGGATGAATCTTAAAAATGTCGAGTAGAGTTGATCTATGAATATTGAGTTTAAAACTACTTTTATTATATTCACTTGAAAGGCTAGATTGAAATTATCCGAACTGCATAATCCTCAGATATATGGCTTATAATCGTTTTGTTGGTTATACAATTGAACTTGTTTCATGTTGATAGAATTTTGCAGATATGTTCAGAAATCTTGGGAAGAACTTGGTAAATATAAAGAAAAAATTGATGGAGAACTTTGTTTTGCTTAAGTGTTCCTATTGAACTAACCGTATAAAATGTAGTGAGATGATAAAAATATAAAAAGGCTATTAAAAATATTATATTATAAAATATATTTAAAAATAAGATCGAATTTTGCAGTCGGGAACATTAACGGTCTTAAACAGTTGCATTTTTGAAAGTAAAGAAGTTAAGAAGGAGTCAGAAGTAACTAAGCTACGAACTTATAGAAGATATGTCTTTTTCCGATTTGTCATGATACTAAGATGCATTTATATTTAAATATAGAAAGGAGTTGAATAGTAACTTAGTCGTTACATATTTTTCAGATGTTGCAAACCTTCAGTAGGACAACCAATTTTTGGTCAATTATTAGAACGAGCTTAGAACAACATAACTGTTAAGTTCCGAAAATATGGAATAATCATCCTATTTTCAATTTCCAAAGGGTAAAATTTGAAATATAAAAATAATAGCTCAATTATGGAATTTTTAAGTTTACAGCTGTAACATTTTTGACGATGTATATTTTTCTTTTTTTTTTTTATGTATGCCCCTTGCGATGTAGATATACAAATAAACAAAATATTTTCTGATGTAAGTTGTATTGAAATAGTAAGCGTATCGGGTATATATTTAAAAATTCAAGTGTCAAGCTTCAATAAAGAAATGGTTTACGTTTATATGGACAGACGGACGAGCAAAACGGACATTGCACAAAATGTATATACTTATTCACTTGGTGACTGAGTATTAAGGGAAATACGAAAACTCAAAAACTCGTATATAAACTATAAAAAAAAACTAACTTAAAAAACACGTTTAAATTAATTCGTCTTAATACGATTTCTGTTAAATAAAATATTTGTTAAAAAATAAAACTGTTATTATTATATATATTTATGTATATATTATTTCTATATCATTAGTATCATTTTGGATCAGATGTGAGCTTAAGCAAAATAATTGATTATGCATAGCAATAATGATAATGCTTTTTTAGAAAATATTTTAAAAAACTATTTTCATTGAATGTAATTTTTTATATGATTTAATTAATTGTTTCGATAGCATTTTGAAAAGCTTTCATAAATGCATAGATAGGTTAAGAAATGCGCTAGTGCAAACAAGTTTACCATTGCTGGCTAGACAATTGATACCCTCTAATGGGTATTAGCCACACCGACTTCATTTCTCCTTTCATAGTCAATATTCTGCACTGTTAACTGGTACCTTCTGCTCCTGATACTGTTGCTTCCCACTGCTTGTCTCATTGGCATCCTTGCTGTGTGCAGTCTGGTGTTGGATTTTGTTGGAAGCATAATTTTAAATGAGCTTAACTAAATACATAGACAATATGCAGAAAAAAGCCATCTGGGCATTAGTCGTTATCGTTGTTATACCAAGCAGCTGTGACCCCGCATTTGGGTAAGTCCAAGGTGGACGATGCGATGGTACGGCACTCGGCGACTTATTTGTTTTTTCGAATCCATTGCGAGTGGGAAGTTGCGTGTGTACTAGAAATTATTTTAAAGTAAGATAATAAGTATTTTAAAATGTATTTTTTTTTGTTTTGTTTTGAAAGAAAAGAAAACAAATTTTTCGATCATAAAGAAAATCATTTTAACAACTTCTATCATGTATCAATATTATAGTATATAAAGATATCTTTTATTCTTAATCTCTGCGATATTTATTCACATATTTGGTCAACTGCTTTCATTAAACAATTGATTTTTGTTGAGACATCTGGGTTACATCTCATTGTTGTTATAGGTTGTGTTTTAATTTATTATTAAGGTTTCAAGTTTTAAAGAGGCCTCCCATTCTTTTTTTTTGTTAGTGGAGCGACATTCTTTTCTTTCAATTAGGCTCTCAATATATTGAAACAACAGCAAAAAATGTCTTTTTTGTACTGTTCTAGTTCATAAGTGTGAATATTTACTGATATTATTAAGTACTTAAACGATTTGAGACAATTTTTTTTATTTAAGTAATTTAAATTAATATTTTGGCATAGAAATATATATACTGTTTAGTTTCAATTGAAATTTGCCATTTCCGCTTAAAAGCAGTTAGGTGGGAGGCAGGTTGGACTAGGACGAAAACGCACACTTGAAATTGAAACTGACTGCCGGAAAATTAACTTCAAAAGAGATTTCAAAAGTACTGAGTTTTACCAAAAATACGGTTTCACTGATAAATCAGTGCACTCGACAGCTGCACGAGTGCTAAGTCCTGGTGACTACTACTGCTGCTACTGCTAGAGAAATGGGTGGCAAAGTAAGTCCGTAGTGGCTGAAAAGGGGGTCACGTACTCTTGAAAGGGCCGAAGGGACTGTGCCACTGCTGCTGCTACTGCTAGTGGATTGAAGAACAAGTATGTTGCGGTTTGTTGTCCGCTGTACTTTTGGTTCCCAGTTTCGGAGGAAGCAAAGATCGAAGAAGTAAAGGCAAGCCACCAAGGCTTTCTTAAAAGGGCAGCCCTGGTGCAGCGACATTATATTTGTCCAAGTCATAGTCCCTTGGTAAAGAAAAGTGCCCTATGGATGGAGGCGTCGCATGTGTATGCAGACTGAGAGTATACCCTGGTCCGGTAGATGTGGATGTGAGTGTTTGTAACTACCTCTTATGCCTGACTTCATTCTATGCTTGTGCTGCAGCATGTATTTGTGGAATTTTCTAAATCGTAACTTACCTTCCGCTCCGTTTATCATGCCGTTGACGTTTCCACTTGCCATAATACCACCGGCACCGGCACCACCACCGCCGTTGGGGCTCTGGGGCACACCAATCCCGCTGCCGAATACATCGTTCTCTTGCTGCATTTGATTTGAGAAATGGGTTTCCTTGGCACGCACCACTTCGTTCAGTCCCTTGTTGTGGCTGGGCTGCTGCTTCCGACGCGGCTTCGCCGTAGTATGCACGTGAGGTGTTGGCGTCGTTGTCGACTTGGGCGGTAATCGTAATTCTGCAAGAAATTGCACCAATTATGAAATGCTGAATGCTTCTTTACATTGTTCGAGGGGAAAAACAAGCGAAATGGGATGGCAGACAGTCTTTAAAAAACAGTGGGATACCACCAATTACAAATTCAAACTCAATGGCAAGGGCTTAACATTGTTGTATCGCCTGTTGTACCCGGTAATAAAAAAATTTTGCGTGTTTCATATTGTATTCAAAATACATTTAGTATATTAATATTAGATTAGTCTTCTCTGAGTCGGTGTAGTGGCCTGATCTTGGGTAGTATAAACCTAAAAACACAAAATGTAGAACATGTTCATATGTATGTATACAAGTGTATATGAAATGTCGAACGAGATATAGATGAGATGGGAATGGTATATGTATATGTATATATATATATATATATATATATATATATATATATATATATATGTATATATATATATATATATATATATATATATATATACATATATATATATATATATATATATATATAACTAACTATAACATTGACAACTCGAAGACTTTGAAAGACATTATTTTATCAATAAATAGGTTTCAAAATTGTGGAAAGTACAGGGTATATTCTGTATGCTATGCTCCCAAAAGGCACACAATTTTGATTTAGCAAATCTATATATGTTACCTATAACTCAATAATATTAAGTTTCTATCTGTAATTATTAAAGATATACATTTTGCTGTGTGCCACACCCCCTATGGATGTAGCTTTGTAATTCTTTTCTGTGTTCAAAATGTGACAGAACTTGCACAGAATCATCATCATATGGTCAGATTTGATTTTCATGCCATTAGTGGGCATATATATAAGTTCTTCGTGTATCTGTAGAGGGTCTAAACCGTAAATCACATGCCAAATTTGGAAGTTTTATGTACACAAACAGCATAACGACATTGCAGAAAAGCAATATGCTCTCCAATTTCGTAAATAAGTATATAAAAATTAGATTTTACTGTAAACGAAACAATGCCTAATAGATATATATATATATATATATATATTATATATATATATATATATTATATATATATATATATATATATATATAATATATATATATATATTATATATATATATATATATATATATAATATATATATATATATATTTGGCTGATATGTTTTTTTAATTCTTGGGGTTTTTGCCCATCATTACCTTAAGTGAAACCTAAAATTTTGCCCATGAACTGAATGCAACGCTGGTGGCAATGCGAACAGAGAAAGTTTTTCGCTGATTGTGCAATAATTCATGCTTAGTTTTAGTGCTCCAGCTCTATTTTGCGTTGGCATTGGAGACAGCGACTGAGCCTGAGACACAGACTGAGACTGAGACTGAGACCGAGCATGAGGATGTGCACCCACTGCGCAGATGAAAGATAGAGAAATGCTTCAGTCGTCTTTAAATGAGATCGATAAAAATAATAGACCGACGAAAATCCTAGGTGATTTATTGCCAGGAAACTGAACGAATTACATATGCGATGTAGGCATACACACACACGCACATACACATACACACACACCCATTCATTATTCACTGAATTGATGGTTTCAAATTGAAAGAACTACTTGGCTTAGCTTGAGTCTTGTAACTTGGATAACAAAAAAAGTACATATGGGCAGCATTGAACTTGAAATACATTTCATTTTATCTTACCTTGCAGTCGAATTCGTGTCTCACTTTTTCCTAGAGCATTTACACTAGAGCAGCTGTAAGCTCCAAAGTCAGATTTTGCCAGGTGCCGTATCGTCAAATTAAGGTGCCACATGTACAGATTAATCATAGCTTCTGAGATGTTGTACTTGTTGCTATTATGCAACTTAACATTACCTGAGAGGGTTAAAAAATATATCGAAATTGAGTTATTAATATGTAAACAAATGAAATCTTTGTTTTTTAACAACCTGTAACAATAAGTGTTATTTATTACTTAATGTTAAGTAATTCTAACGCATCTTCTATAGATCATACGCCTGATAGCTTAAAGTCATGTGGGACTGAGGTAAGCAAAAACTCAAACTGTAAAAGCTCCTTTTTAATTTAGGTTGCAATATGTGCAATTGTAAAAATTAAACATTTAATTATTTAACAACAGATATTTAAGAAAATCTATTGAAAGTATTAAATAAATTAATACATTTTAATGAGTAATGCAGTTTCATTTATAACTCCCAATGCAATTTCCGTAATAATTAAAAAAAAATTGGTATCAAAAAAGATGATAGTTGTTAGATGAAATTAAATGCACTTACTTAATATTGGTATATAAAATATATTATTGCAAAATTAAAGCAAAATTACCTTCGTTGCGGTACCAGCCGTTTAGAGGTTTTGGATAAACTTCCACAATACATTCTAATGTTACTTCCCGTTCAACCGGAGCTCCCACTAATTGGTTGACAGCCTTAATAGTTGGCGGAACTGAAATATAAAATTGTGGTCAGTATTTTTTAAAAACAGAAGCACCAAAGACTTTTTGAAGGAAAATTATTATATATTCAACTATTATTGAAACCTCTTTTCGAAATTGGCTCATCGAATTTAAGGCGAAGAAAGAAGCTTATCAAGTTCAATGTTGATAAGATTTTTATTGAATTTAAAGAACATTGTAAAATTTAAAGTCATACTAAAAATGGATCCAATTTAGCTTTACATACTCATTCAGAATCCAGAATTTGCATCGACCTATTATGGAATTCATTATTAGTGTTCATTTTAATGTTTCTCACTGCAGATTTAAAACTGTGAAAGTTTTGGTTTTTTGTTATTTTGCAACTACATGACGGACGAGCGAACACCACGGCGGATATTACTCAATACATTTATACTCTCTTTATTTTGACAGGAAATAAGTGCCATTTGTGGATCGAATATTTAATACCCTGAACGAGTTGTGCTGGAAAATAAAGATTAGAGTAGCATTCGTAGTTCTCTACAATAATATAATCAAATTATTTATATTTTATAGTCTTGGAATCTTGACTAGACACATCGAGTATGAAAAGTGAAATATTTATTTTCATATATTCTGAATTATCAAAATATTTTATATTAAGATTATGGATAGTTTTAGTGGACAAGAACAACTAGTGGCAATAAAATCTAATATTTTACGAAACAATAATACCACCTGACCACCTAGTCGAGCACACCCGACCAGATTCTTGTTTTTTTAGGCACCGCAATGATGACTGCTCTAACTTCTTACGAGTGACGCTGCTGCATTCATTTGCAAGACAAACTTTTTGTATTTTACATATACACAGAGAATCCTCGTATAGCAATAACTTGGAAGTTCCTTTGCTGTCATTTATGTTAGATGCTTTAAAATTGAAATTGCTGTAAATACTTACAATAGGTGATAGTATGTACATTCAGAAGGCAATTATTTGAAAGTCACAGAGAAAACGAAAGCGATGATTGAAAATTAACTATCATTTTCTTACGCTAGGTGATAGTGTTTTATTTTATATTTGGTTATTTATAAATCGAACGGAGTTAAAGAACTCTATATAAAATAATTAATTAATTTAATCAAAAATAATTAATTAATTTTTTGCCAAATGATCAATTTTTGAAGAATTTATAAATTTAACGAACTAAGGTAGCCTTAGCCTAACCATATTCGGGCGTATTTAATAACTATAGGAAATAGTGGTTTGAGAGAAATGTTCAGGAATATATTGTTAGATTAAAAGAGTTCAACAAGCAGAACAAGAGCTCAAAGCAAAAGCCTCTAGAATAGACAAATCAAGATTTATTCGCTTGGGAATCTTTACACCGCTCTCCATCTAGTAAAATATCAAGCAAGATTATTTTAGTTGAAACTAAACGACGAGCAGATACCCTTCTTATATTCATTTTTATACACCAATAAACACACACATAAGCGCACACATAAAAATACATACATGTGCTAAGCATTCTAGTAGGCGGCTGTATTTTGGTACATATACTGCCCTCCGTGTCTGGGAAATAGCTTATTAAAAACTTTGATTCTAGATATAAAATAATTTGCAAAGCTATTTTTGTACGTACCAAAGACAATGCGCTAATAGAAAGAATTGTGATTTTAAATGAAAAAAGTTTTTTTTGATAATGTGGAATGTAAAATATTATTATGATAAGTGAAATACTTCGTTAAGTGTCTCAAGCTCTACTAAACTTCTAGTTATTCTTACAGTAGCAAGTAGATAGAAAAATTATTTTGAAAAATTCCCTTTTAATAAACTAGGCTTACAAGAGAAACAATCAACTGTCATATAATTAATATATTTTTATAGCACATATTGATGATATATTTAATCGCATTTTTACCATAGCGTTACTACAACCCAGTGATTTAAGTTCAATACAGAACGAACTGCCAAATTACCTTTCATTACAGGTACCCTAATATATTCTTGATAGATATTCCAGGAAAAAAAATATATATTTATTTTTTTCCAATTTATATTTTTGTAGTTGTACAATATATCTGTCTCCTACTTTTAAATTTATTTATTTTCAGAAAAATTGTATTTTAGTGTATTTTACCGTCGATACATGAGCATTTTTCATTTTATTTGTTTACTCTTTGTACTTTTGCTAGCAGATTACACTGACTGAGGCAAACCTAGAAGCGCGGGAGTTGTTTGGTTGGGTGCGTGAGTCGTTGGCTAAGTCTGTGTGGATACTGGTGGGGTGGTGCTTTCATAGGATTACTTTATACTAGTTGTGTGGGTGCCACCCTAGTGTGAGAAAGAGAATGACAACTGTAATGTTCTGTTTCAATGCAGTAAAGGCTCATGCTATTTTTCCTCTCGTTGGGTGGTGTTTGGCTCTAGGAGTTCTTGTTGCTACTGATGACGCTGTTGTTGTTGTTGTTGTAACTGAAGGATAATTTTAAGCCATAAATAAAATGGATTAAAGTCCACTGATCCGCTCATCAAAAAAGATTTCACCCTTTGTAACACTAGAACATTATTAAAGCTTTTCTCCAAAATCAATATCATCACAGTCCTTCTGTAGTGGATTTGCGCAATTTTAAATTTATGTTGTTGCTTATATTTTCACATTAGGTCGTATAGATTTTTTGGTAAATCAACTTCTTATATTAATTTTCTAATTTCAATTTTCGGACGAACGAATAATCTTTCGCCTTTTCATCAAAGATTAGCGCGTCATGAACATTGATGAAAAATAAATTATATTTTCTATTTTTAATCTCGATTAATAATTGGTAGATTTATCTTTTAGGCCTGTTCAGATTCGGAGCTCAATTTATGTATATTTAGCCATGTATACACGTTAAATTGTTATTATCAGCTGAAATTTAAATTTGATAACAGGAAAAGAACACCAAAAAATCGTTTTTCAAAGAACAGCATTTTTAAATCTACGACAAAAAATTTAATTAATTGGTGTTGGTTTTGCTACTAACTTTTAATTGCCCCATATAAACAGTTGATTGGCTACAAATGTAAGCAAACGTTTTTTCAGTGTGGTCAAAAGTCTAACAATGGATTAGCAGTTGGCCTGTATACCAGTAGAAATTTGAAAATTTGCAGCCTGTTTTCCACTGTGTTTGACGGAGACACATTGCCTAAAATTGTAGTTTTATTTTTCTGGCACTAGCTACACAATATACACAACTTACACAGCCGGATTGCCCAGTCCCTCACAATTATGGAGTTGTTATTTTCAAATGTTTACTACTTGCTCACATTGCAAAATTTTACAGTGTGTGTGCTGGATACTGATGTACATGTATGTACTTAGAACGGCTCTCATGTATATGCATATATTCATATTAATATATATATTAATATATATATATATATATATATATATTCATATATATATATATATATTCATATATATATATATATATATTGTTATACATTCTCTCTTCAACACACTCATACGAAGTAAACAGAATAATAACTCATGACAATAGTTCAATGTGTGTGCTGCCAGCTTCGCTTCTGCTGCATTGCTCTCTGCTAGCAGTTATTATAATGGTAGGACGCACATACAGTTGCATGTGTGTACATTTGATACGCCCTGGCTTGAACATGAAGTGTGACTATCGTAAGTTTCCACTCTGATTTTGACTTGACAATCTCATGGTGTTGATTTGTGTCTTTTGCCACACCAACAGCATGTTTAAGGTATTGAGCATTCTTTATAGAAGAAAATGCCGCAACTAAAATTTTATTATTTCAGGAATGGATTTGAATAAAAGAGCAAACTGCTTCAAATATGCAGTCCCGCAGAAAGAGAACAAAATATTGGAAAGCCAGCCTAATATAAATGCTTTACACATCCTCAACAAAATAGTCATCAACTGTGGACTACTTTTTTGCTTTATTAATAATACAAAAAAAAAAATTTTATGTTCGGATTAAGGGATCAAAATAGATGATAGCTTAATGTATTTAGCAGTTGACATATATTTCAAAAACTATGAAAAACTTCTCTTATAAGTAAGAGTTTGAATTTATTTAATATAAGAATTAATATGGTTCATAAATGCAAATTGTTTTTTTGTACCGTGAACTTTTGTTAGATTTCTATATGTATTTATATACATAGTCTACCACGGAAAAAAAGTTATTCAACTTTACAACTTAACGATCGAATATTATTAGTAGATAATATTATAGCAATAATAGAAGTTATTGCAGAAACTTTATATTGCGCTACAGTGGGAAATATAGACACTTGCATAGTAATTATAATAGAACTGTAAACTAAGAAATTTATTTGTCTAAGAGTAATTTCATTTATATTTGTTTCGCCCATATATACAACTTGTTCAGATGTCTGCATAGTTGATATCTTAAATCTGACTTTGGTTCGCTTAAAATTGTACTTCATCTTCATCTCATATGTCTTTTATTTAAATTTAAAATATTTAACTTTAAGAACGGAAAATCAGGGCATAATGGGTTTGTTAAAGTGAACTGTTAAGTTTTTGTTTTAGCCCTTTTTGTATGTCTTTCTGTCGTCGACCTCAGAGCCTATAATAAGCGCATATAAAGTATTCAAATAATCTATAGCTATTTCCGTTTTAATGGTATTAATTGAGAGCATGATACAAATGTAGTTATTAAACTATTTCTCGTACGCTTTACCATGCATATTTTAGTTCAAGTACTAAACATGAATTTGATTGCAATGATGTGAGCTCGCAAATTTGTACTAGCTCCGACTAGAACTTTCTTACGAGTTTTTTTTAATTATTTAACGATATTGTTTAGAAAGTAATTGTAACTGTAATAGTCGATGGCATGTAATCTCAACAATAGACGGTCTTATATATGAAGAGAGGAATATTTGGGTATATTGATTCAGCTGTTTAATGTGACCAAAAAAACCTTAAAATTTGGTACGTTACTGCGGCAAATCGGATCTGACAGTTATAGTGTTTTACAAATTCAGCTTTATTTTGAACACTTTTGGAGCTAGATACTTGAAATTATATATATATATATATATATATTTGTATATATATATACTTGTGACTACAACCAGAATTGAGTGTGGCAATTTGCAAAAATATATTTTCTATAGAGTTAGAGCTAGAAACTTTGACTTTTTATGGCATATCGAAACAAACGTAGTATTTTTTCAATTTGCATAGCATTTGATATGGGTCCTAATTAATGAGCAAAGCTCTGCTTAATCCCTCAATTGATCTAAAAAAAATGTTAATGTGTAAGCCTCTTGAGGGCGTGGCAAATTAGAAAAAAAATATCTTTCAAATTTTTGGAGCCAGTATTCAATGAATGAGTATTTCGTACTTTGTAAAAATAATTATTTCCTAAAATACTTATATTATATTTTCTAATTAACTAAACATGGATAGCTTACAATTTACGTGAACATCGAAGCGTTTGCTCACTGAAGGTGGAATTCCATTTGATGCAATGCAAAGGTAACCACCCATATCCGTACGATGAACATTAGTGAGAGTCAGTCGCTCGCCTTCGACTGACTTGAATGCTTGAATATTAAGATAGTAGTAAAATGGATTTTTAATATCTTTATACCTTACAATCACTAATCACAGTGAAATACAATTGTAAATAATAATAATAATAATAATAATAAATGTTTAAACTATATAAATTCATAAACACAGTTGTGATGTTAAAATATACACCTTGCTTGTCTCTACTTTCCGATCTGACTATAATATCCTTGCCGCCTTCCCGTCGCCATTGAACCATAGGCTCTGGTACACCTATGTCATAATAATGAGAAGAAATATTGATTAATTAGATGTAAACTCTTGCATACCTTATTTGTTCTCATATTACGCATAATAATGTGATAGGTAAGTACCTGTGGCACTGCAGAGTAAGGAAATACTCCCTCCTTCTGTGCTAACACCTTCATCGATATTTTCATCAGGATGGTTTAGGATATCAGGTGGAACCACAACATCTAAATATCCCGACTGTTAAAAAATAACACAACATAATGAAAAATATTTTATTAAATAGCAAGGAAGAAAAATGGATAAATATTGCTAGTTTTAAATTTAAAATTTACAGGCCTTGGATTTCTTGGGTTAAGTAGGTACTGATGAAAGGACAGTGCGTCCGTTACATAGAGATGTACACTATCAGAGCTCGATACTTAAAATTTTGAATATATACTCGCATCTAAACAGATATAAATTAGATATCTATGCCCATATTAGCGTGGTAAAACAGAAAAGCAACTCTAAATTATTAATCTTGAGTTACTGGTGACTTCGTCTGCAAAATTTTTTGCTGGTAAGCAAAACTGATTAAAATTATTTATTATCGTAGTTTAAAATTTCGATTGCGAGGTCGGACAAGGTTTTCAAACAGATTAAAATAGATATTTTATACTATTTGTGCCGAAAAGCTCAACCTGCAACATTTTTATACCTTGATCCCATTGAAAATGCTATAATAAGGGTATAATGGTCTTGTGCAAATGTACGTGACAGGCAGAAGGAGGCGTGACGGACCCCATAAAGTCCTATACACATGCACACATACATTGAAATGCGTGTAATCTATTGTATTCGAAGAATCAAACCTGAGATTGAATTGTGCTTGAATTGTCGTCAGCGACTTAATTTGAGATTTGCAACTTCGCGCACAAGGTGTGTAGTGGCGGTGTTGGTAGAGGTGGCGCTCGCTGACGAAAAATTCTGGGTTCTGGTACCAGGCGGCGAAGGAACGTTTTTTTACTTATGAAGTGGCGGGGTTATTAGAGTTGATTTGAGAGTTCGCCGAATCTTGGTGTCGTAATGCCGGTCTTTATTTGTTTTTTTTTTCTTCCCGATACAAACTATTGAAAATGTTCGAAAACACGAATATAAGGGTATCTCCTAGTCGGTCAATCGTCTAGAGCTTTCTTACTTGTTTCAGCTCTATTTTGACGTCATTTTCACACTCAAGCCGATCAATTTCGAAATTAATCATGACATGTCAATCGTATGCCTCTATTTGATAAGGAGCAATAATTAACAAAACATACGTAAATGTAATAACAGAATATTACAGTTGCGCGCAATTGATTGAATAATAGAAGATTTGATTTTTCCCCATTTCCCATGCCCTCCTAAGCATATATTTAATTTATGGTAAGTCAATAGAGTGAGTCAGTACGCAGGCATTGTATGTGTATCAGACGAATGTATGTGTATCAGACGAAAAGCAGCAGCAGCAATCAAAATGTGCTAAACAAAGCTTTTTTCTGTTTCAGGTAGTAATTTATTTAATATTATACTTTATTTAATTTATAAAATCGAGCCAATAATTGAGTGTTAAATGTCAAATAGTTAATACTTTGCTTGAAATTAATACGTTTGCTGGTGTATAAATTTCTGTATTAAGAATACAAATAAATAAACTTTGAAATTATTAAGTCGCAGTGAGTTTAACTTTTATCAAAATTAATATTGAACAATATTGAATATTGAAATAAGAATAAATATTTCAATTTTTAGCCACGAAATCTATACAGCTACGTGCCGTGGCTTTTGGGGTAGTGCTTACCTGTGCTAAAGCCTTATTTTATAGCTCGCACATAAGCTAGGACTCAGACACATATGGCGATAAGATTACTGACTCTGCCAACACCTAAGCATTTGAAAATTGAATAGCTGACCACTAAGGGTCAGGGGTAGCGCTGAGGTTGACTTACCAGACTTTTCATGGGATCTGTATTCACTTGACACATGTAGCTGCCAGAATCATTTAGCTGCACGTGGGATATGTGAAGTTTCCAGGTGTTGTGTCCATTGTGTGTCACTGATAATCTTGGATTTAGAGATACCATATGTGTATGTATACCAAGTATTGCTTTTGAATCTGATTTAATCCATGCCACCTGAAATTGCGAAAGCAGACCCAGGCACGCATTAAGGTAAGTAATGTAACTTTGCTTCTGCCAAGTTCACCCTCGCGCTCTGCTCAGCTTATGAACTTACTTACTTTCACCTGCAACTATGCATGTAGCAGGACGTTTTGTGTCCTGGCAGGTCTTAATATAAACGTACACTTACACATTCCGAAGATTTTGTGCAACTGTATGTGTAAAGCACGTAGTACACACGCTTACCAAATAATTGACTTATGTATATTTATGAAAATAGGATATTAGTTTTAGTCTAGTATCTAGTTTAAAATATATACATATATTTATAGATCTTAGACTTAAGCATTTCACAATTATATGTAATATTGACTAAAGCTAATAAAAGCTGATGTAGGTGTATAAATATAGCAACATTTTAGCCATATAGATATTTAGGAAAAGGTGACTTATTCTGCTGTTCGTAAGCTTAATTAAATATTTTGAATGACATAAGTACTAAAAATTCAGATTTGTATTTATATTATAAAGAGCATACCCGATATTGTCCCAAGTTATCAACAACACAAGTGAAAGATATGTCACGACCTTGTGGTACGGTAATATTTGTTAGTTGTGCCAAAAAATGCGGTCCCACTTCATCAGGTTCGTTGTGACCTTTGAATTTACAGAAAATACAAAAATTAAAAAAGGGAATGCTCGAGAAATGTGTGTTATAAGCACAGGTGCATGTATACATTTATATATACATGTGTGTGTATATATTATGAACAAAAACTAGCAAAACGTAAAGAATTAATTAACGAAATGTAAAAAGCATCACACCGTATGATGCACTGGCAACCCAAAGGGTAGTCAAGATTTCTTAAAAAATAATCAAAATAAAATCATTTTTGTTGGTCAGTTTTTTTCTAAATATTATTTTAATTTGTCAAGTTTGCTGAAATGCATCTGGATAAAAACAAATACAAGTTTCTAATAAATTTGAGTTAAAAGCAATGAGTGTTCGACTACTATGATATAATCCACGCAAAGAAAAATTTTCAAATGTTGAAAATCATATATAAAAAAATTATAAAAAAACCTCGTGGAAATTGGTGAAACATCAGAACTTTCCGAACTTTATTATTTACAATAGCTTGTGATGTACTTTCAGCGAGAAAATCGTATGTACAGAAATATTAGAATAAATAATAAAAATTCTTAACAAGAAAAATATTCGTAATACTAATTTAGAAATATGTAAATATTTTCCAAACAAATTACGAAGTTTTCTTTCAAGGATGACAAACTAAATGAAATCCTACCTTGTATATTTGATATTGAATGACTTCCTTTCGTGCGCAATATTCCGGTGAGTAACAAAAGTATTACGGAGGCTAAAGTCCTCACGCAGAATTGCGTCTGAGTCATTGGGGCAGTCTTCATTTAAATGTCAGGCTTCTGATCGTCAAAGGATCTTCAGGTACTTCCAAAACTTACCTATAAAATATGAATAATAATCTCGCTATTCGAGCTGATCCCTTGCTGTTGATATTCGCTTAATTATATATCAGAATTATCGTCTAGTATTGTCACTGTTAACTTATGGTGCACTCGATGATATTTCTGAAAAGAGAAAGAAGTTTAGATGCATATTTTTGAAATATATATACATTTTTATTTTATATACATATATTTTCATTTTTATTTTTTTTTTTTTAGTTAAATACTTATGAAAAAGTTTTAAGGTTTGTTTCGAAACTTAGATCTAAGACTTAAAATGCAGTCATATTTAAATTGGATTGTACTGATCAAACAAGATATTACAAGTAAGATATCTATCGTCTAGGTTACCTCGACCAATCTGGGCCTACTTCAAAATTGCTATCTATGCATAGAAACATGCAGGAAATATGGAATACACGCAGTAAACTAATGGATGGGTTATCTTAGAAAAATTGTTAAGCTCATTCTGCGTATGCTATAAACGAAAATATATTTAAAATTTCAAGTCTCTAGCTTTTGTGGCCTACGAGGTCGATGCACACAGAGACAGACATGGTTAGATCGACTCTGCTTGTCGTCCTGATCAATAATAAATATACATACATGCTGGTTTTATAAATTTTACATACATTTTCACAAAACTAGTACATCCTGTATTCCAATTGGCTCAGGCTATAAAACGGACATCGTTAGGAATTAAACTCACAACTGCTCAACGCTGCGCATAAATTTTCAGCATATTATCTACATATTCTCTTGAATAGTTTTTAGTTTAGTAAAAAACTCTTTCATGAAACCGAATGCAAAAGTTAGACTCTCAAGCTCTAAAAACGTACAAGACATAATAATTGAAGTTCAATAACGTGTCTATTCAGTAACGTTAAAACGCGAATATTTATCTATGATTTTGATCGAACTTGATGTAACTTGATTTGCGCATGCTATATAAGGAAATACAACAAATTGCAAGTTTCTAATTCTAATAAGAACAGGTGGACAGACGTTCAGTGCTAGATCGACTCAGCCTTTCGTCTTTTTCGTGGATTTAAATCTTTAAGAGTCTCACACTTCCTGACATACATTTTCACACAACTATTATATCCTGATTTTTCATTTTAAATGGGTTCTGGGTATAAAAAATTAGTTCCAAGTTTCGGTCAGGAAAGGCTTAATTTGTATACATTGGTTAGCTTTGTTCGTCGATCTCAGCAACTTTAAGACCTAAAGACTTACAATATCACGAGTATTTCAAGTTTGTTTCAAATAATCGAGAACTCTTGTCGTTTTACTATTAACGACATAAAACATGATCAAAATTCCGTTATTAATTTATATCTTGTACAGCTTAAAAGCTAGAGCCGCAAAATGTTGTATTTTGTTTTATATATTTATTCTAGTTTTTGTATTTTGTTTTATTTACTTATTCTTTTTGGGTTTTTGTTGTATTTTGGATACCGGTTCAAATTTCTGCAAATTCTTAAAATTTAAATTCAGTTGGAGAAAGAGCCTACATTCTTATAAGGTGGAAAGTACTCCAACAGAATATCTGTTACGCAACACAGAAGTTATTAAACAAAATGTTTGGACAATTTGCAAAAGCATGTGGCCAGCAGCATCAATGGGACATATTTTTCCTATACATACATATTTTTCGTGTCACGTTATATAGCCTTCAGCTTTTTGTCACTTCAAATATATAACTTTGGCTTTTTTCAGTCAGTCATGAAGTGACTTATGTAGCTTTCGTCTCTTTATAAGTCAGTCACTTCATGTATAGCATTCAGCTTTTCGTCAGCTAGTCACTTCATATATAGCATTCAGCTTTTTGTATATATATATAGCTTTCAGCTTTTTGTCAACCAGTCACTTTATATATAGCTTTCAGCTTTTTGTCAATCAGCCACTTCAGATATCGCTTTCAGCTTTTTGTTACTCAGTCAATTTATATATAGCTTTTAGGTTTTTGTCAGCCAGGCAATTTATATAAATAGCTTTCACTCAGTCAGATTTCAGACAGCTCAGTGAAATTTTTTCACTTCAATATAATAGCTTTCAGTTTTTTGTCAGTCGATCACTTTATAGCATTCGGCTTTCTGTCAATCAGTCACTTCATATATAGCTGTTGGCTTATTGTCAGTCAGTTCATGGATAGCTTTCAGCTTTTTGCCAGTCCGTTCATCCATAGCTTTCACCTTATAGTAAGTCACTTCATATATAGTGTATAGCTTTTAGTCAGTCAGTCAGTTCATATATAGCTTTAAGCTTTTGTAAGCTGGTCACTTCATATATAGCTGTGAGCTTATTGTCAGTCACTTTATATATATATATATTTTCTGCATTTTGTCAGCTAGTCACCCTAAATAGATTGCTCTCAGCTCTTTGAGAATCAGTCAATTTATATATGCCTTTCAGCTTTTTGTCAATTAGTCACTTCTAATAGATAGCATTCAGACTTTCGTCGATCAGTCAGTTTATATATAGCTTTCAGCTTTTTGTCAGTCAGTCTCGTCATATATAACTTTCAGTTTTTTGTCTTCATATATAGCTTCAGCTGTTTGTCAGTATCTTCATAGAAATCTTTTACCTTATTGTCAGAGAGTCACATATATATATGCAGATATATAATATGTATAAACCCACAATCTTTAGCAATTTCGGGTTATTGATAACTTAAGTAGCTGCTGTTATATCGTTATCGAAAAGGGTGGCACGTTTGCTTAGTCATTTAGGTCTATACTTATATAATTTATTAGAGGTTACAAATAGCAATCTTAAGAAATATTCCAAGGGTCTGATGTTATCAATAACTTAAGTTTAACTAGTTGTAATATAGTTATCGAAAAAGGGCAATCAGAGTATTATGGTTTTGTTGAAATATATATAACATGATAAACATGATAGCAATACCGTTAGTAAATTATATCGCGTTCGGATTAAAAGCTACACTCAAATTGTGTAATTAGTTTAATGTAAATTTTATACAATTTTGATTTTCTTATATTTTGGATACCATCTCCAAACTTCCTCAAGTACTGTACATTTAAGTTAAAAATAGGGTCAATATGTGAAAGAGTTTGCATTTTTATTAAGCTCACAATTACTCCAATCTAAAATGTAAATAATGTGGTATAAATTCAATAAGTGAAATATAAGTTGTTAAACAAAACGTTTGGCCAATTTGCAAAGCACGCTTCAAACAACGCCCAGCAAATGCATTTTTCCTATACACGTGCACACATACATGCGTCTATTCTTTTCTATTCTATTTCTATTTAATTGTGCTTAAATTGTCAGCTACTACTTAAGTTAAGATTTACGTCTACTTGCACAAGCATTGCAAAAAATATTAAAGAACGCAGATAGAACTGGGTTCAGGGCATATTCTAGTCGGCACCCCAGGGTATTTCCTAGTCGGCACCTCGACTAGAGCTGTCTTACCTTTTTTATATACAAATATTAATGCATAGAGAAAGGAGGTGAAGGAGCTGAAGTTATTCGAAATATTAGCTATGTTGGCTATAACATTTTCAGAAACTACTGAAGAACATAAATGTATTAATCAAAACTTACAAAATTTTTCATCTATCGGAAAACCGTTGAAACATAGATATATATGAATAAAGAAATTTTATAATTTACTTAATAAGATTAATTTAATAAACTTTAACTGTTTCTTGATATGTTATTTAACATTATATAATTAATTTGTTTTTTATTTAATTTTCAATTCATCTCTTAATATTCCATCTTAATAAACATTAATTCAAGAACTTCTCCTGGCATTCCTAGTATATTTACATGTTGTGTGCTCTTAATGCAATAATTATCTTTATTTGTAAAGATATTTTCTCAACCGAAAGGCATAAAATAAAAGGGCAAAAGGCAACCAAAGTTAAAACCAAATTCCTCTTGTGGAATGCGTCGCGCAATTCACTTTGCCAAGCGGAATTTCTTTGCCAAAATTTTAAGTTGTGTACAAAAATTTGTAGAGTGGTAGAATAATACATCTAATTCAAGAAGGGCGACCTCTGCTCATAAATGAACAATATAATTTTCATTACAATTTAAGAAAATACCATTTAAATAGAATATCCAAATAACACTTAAATAGAATAAATAAAGGAGTATTCCTCTTCTTCTAGTGAATATTGCTAATTACAAATAAATTCAGAAAATGTATGTAAGGTTATTTCACATTTTTATATCTCTATAATAGTAAAATCTTATTTATTAACTAACTTCTCAAGAAATACATTATCGGTGGGTACTTCACTCACTTTTTGTATATGATGTAATCTTAATCCTTGTAACCCTTAATTATTTCGAATATTTGTTTTGTTTTAATTCTAATACATATTTCAGAAACGTATTTATATTCTGTGAAATATACATTTTGCATTGCAGTGCTATTTATACTCACTCCCGTAGTGGTGTCCGTCTGTCGTTCCTAGCGACAAACTTAACATTAATGGGCGCTGGAATATTTTTCAATCTAATATAGTAAAGTCTCTCTGGTTACTAAGCAATCTAATTGTTTGATAGATTTTCAATTAAATGCAATTGAACCATTTTGAGCTACCGAGATTTTTAGATTTTTGAGTAGCTTTAGCAACTTTATCCGCCCTGATGTCCGCTATATATATATATATATATATATATATATATATATATATATATATATATATCTGTACTAATCGAATGATAGTAAGTTTCTCTCAATTTTGGCCGGTAAAACAAATTTAAAGAATAGAGAAAAAATTGAACGAATGAATTGAATGAATGACAAATATAAATCTCGTACATGGATAGTCTATAGAGCTAATTATTGCTCTTAAATTACAAGCCGGGAGATTCAAAAGTATTATTATTATGTATTGCAATTTGATAAGAGTAGAGAATATTTTTTCAGATCTCATAAGGCTGGT